AGACCATGAGTCTCCCGCAAATTACTTGATACTACAATTTCAAAAAGGGGCTGGCGCCACCTACTCCAGCCTGGCAAAACATATACTAGTCCCTCTTGTCGAACCCCTTGCTGAAACTTACACTCACCCCTCCGGCAGAACTCATCACCTTGGAGGAGCCACCATCTCCTTAGTCGCTACGCCCTAACAAACGTCTCTCACTGGTACCAGACTACCGTCACAGAAAGGTGTACCCCCATCTTTCTTTTTTCTTTCTTCTTTTTTTTAATATTGCATTAATAGAACAACCACAAGATGAGGCCGGGGACCTCACAATTCAACCCGGAGTTATCCCGGCAGCATCAGCCGGTTTCGCTTACAGCCTTCCGGCTGCGATCTCCAAAGGGAGACCAGATGAGTCCAAATTTCTCATTGGTGCCTCTACTCTACCGGGAGTTACCTAACGAAGCAACGCTATAACCTATTGAACTAACTACATAAAACCAGACTCACACCATTATTCTAGAAATGGCCTACCACGAGCGGCCAACTATCCTTCCAGTTCCTTAAACTGAAAAAGGAAAAACCTATAAGTCCTAACAATAGTAAAGCTCCCCTATGTAGAGGTCACCCACATGGTAAAAAACTTCAACAACAGGAACAAGACTTGAGCCTAAGACAAAAAAACCACCCCAAACTAAAAAACAAACCAAAAGCTGAGCAATCCGACCTCAATCTTTCAAAAGCCATGGTGGGAAAGTGATGGTACCATCCGGTCTTTCCATACACTCACCGCGTGCTTAATACCCCATATACTGTCCCCTGCGGCAAGACTTCATCATACAATGGAGCCACCATCTCAATCGCCGCCCTGGCTTCACACAATGCAGCTCTCTTACCAACCATTGGGGGGGGGGGGGTCGTCAGGGTGCTGCTCAGTCATCCCTGGACTCCGGGGCAATCAATGCTGACAGGAATCTTCTATTTTTTTGGCTCTCCGTTTTATCTGTATAAGGGACGATGGAACCGGTTTCCAGCAGGTGATGCTCCCCACCAAAAGACGAAGCCTCCTCCTAAGTGGTAGTGGTGTCTGCTCTTACCAGCACCACTAACATTGAAGGAGAGTTGTTTCAAAAAAAAAAAAAAAAAAAAAAAGGGTGGTGACTGTGAGTTTCAGAAAGGGGTTCGACAAAAGGGACTCTGTTTTGCCTTGTGAAGGTTGCGCCAGCCGTTTTTTCTTCTTCTGATACTCCCGTCCGTCTGCCACATCTACCCCTTTGAGCGCTAGATTACGAGAGAAGGAATTACGGTTGACGCCCACCTCTAAGACTTCCCCACGCTTCTTCCAACGGCAAAACTACTTTTAAGTTTTAACCATTGGCCCCCGGCCCGCCGTAACCATTGTCCCCTGTAACCGCGGTGACTATTTACACCGTTCTGTAAGTATTACACTCACTGACAGCCGTTCAGTAAGAACAACGGGGAGTCGGTCGTTCACAAGTAGCAGAATTTAGGAAGATAACTCGAGTAGTATCTTGTACTACAGTAAAAGAATGATCCTGAATATACATCGCTGATGATGCATAAAGGTGAAAGCCATCCAAACTGGAGGATACTATCATGAAAGTACACGGAATTGCACGAAGATTTTTAAAATTGGAGTTCGTTGGAGCAAAAAAGAATAAATCCCTGGAGATTATAGAAGAAGTACCCAAAAAAAAAAAAAAAAAAAAAAAAAAAAAACCTATTAATTTGCTTTTTTATCGTGACACGTCGAAGAGGTATGTCTGCAATAGCGACAGACATGTGTTGCCATTTTGGCAGTTCAATCTGAAAAGAAAGAGAGAGATATAACTCAATCCGAGAAAGGGTCTCGCCGCACGGCACACGAAACGAAAACGAAACGATTGCATCTGCCCACCAAAGGTGGCAAAATACACTCGTTACTATTTATAGCAAACCAATGAACATGGCCGTTTTCTGGGGGAAGATGCATTCGTTTCGTTTTTCGTTTCGTGCGCCGTGCGGCACCGCCCAAAATCTGATTCAGCCGTTACACGGTAGGACTCCGTACTGAGTCCGGACGACTTCACGCTAAGAATCTAGAAGAAGAATTGACAACCATTCATGAAATCACAGGGCGAAAAAAAAAGCCTTTAATAAGGGTTCAAGGAATTGAAAGACTATAATAATAAAATCAGAAATCCTAATAGAGGCAGTGCTATCTCGAAGAATGCTGCCCGATAGAAGACCGTCACGATGAATAAATCGAAAATTATCTAACAGAAAACAAGCCGAGATTATAAGGAGTACTTAGCATCCAGCAGGGAGGACGGTCAGGACGACTACAGTCTTCCCCCGAATACAACCTAGTACGGTCAATATAGCTGTATTTAGACTGAAAGATACCCCGAATTCAGCTATAATGACCGTACGTTGTATTCGGGGGAAGACTGTAGCTCAAGAATGGCCATATCGGCAAAACTCCTGATCGGCTGATAGGTAGATTCCCCTCCGCCATTCGTAAAGAGCTGCCCACCCGCTGTCAGGACATAGCCCTCCTCGTTCACAGTACGGAACCGAGATAGATTCTTCCCCTTTCTACCTTCTTCCCCCGAATACAGCGTATTCGGTCATTATAGCTATATTCGCGGCATCTTTCAGTCTAGATACGGCTATAATGACCGTACTAGGTTGTATTCCGGGGAAAGAAGGTAGCCAGCTTTGATACCTGGCAAACTCAAGAAGGTAACAGGACGGAGTCCAAATTGGGCCAATTTGAGTCTTTTAAATACTCGTCGTCATCCAAAAAAAAAAAAAAAAAAAAAAAAGGAATACTCGTCGTCAAGTCTGCTGACGGGATCTCACAGTTCGTCCAGACTGGCAGGATGGAATCATGGAGCACGGCTGCAGGTCGTGGAGATAGCACGAACCCTGCTGGCAGCAGCTATGGCGGCGACGGCGGCCAGCTACCCGTATCGTCTGGCTGCAGTAGCTATGGCGTCGGCCAGCTAGCTATGGCGTCGGCCAGCTAGCTATGGCGTCTGCTTGCTTGAATACGCCTTCAGTGACACCATATCTTCTTCGTCGCCAAGCAAACGGAGAGGGACGGATCGCGGCCGAAAGGCCTGAGGGGCTGCCGACGGGGTCTCACGGGTTGTCCAGACTGGCAGGATGGAATCATGCGGCACGACTGCAGGTCGTGGAGATCGCACGAACCCTGCTGGCAGCAGCTATGGCGTCGGCGGCCAGCTACCTATATCGTCTGCTTGCTTGACTACGCCTTCAGTGACACCATATCTTCTTCGTCGCCAAGCAAACGGAGAGGGACGGATCGCGGCTGAAAGGCCTGAGGGTAGCATCGACGGACCAGCCCTGCTGCCCTGGTCAGCGGCTATGGCGGCGACCACGTACCTCGCTTCTCTGCTTGCTTGAAGGCGTCGCCTTCGGCATCGTACTCCCCGACGGCGTATAGTAGACGGAGAGAGACTCACAGCCAACAAAGTCATCTCCTCTGCAAAGGGAAAGCACCTACTCCGTGCGACACAGCTGTCACAGCACAATAATTTAAGTTTCCTTGTGAAGGTGCAAGTTCGGGATAGATGCAGCGATCACCCCCTACTACTTCGAGGAAATGTCATATGATCAGGGTAGGCCAGTATAAGTTAAGTCTGAGATAAAGCACCAAAGGAGAACGACAACAATATCAGCTCTCAAGCTCTCAAGACTTTTGTACGTTCAATCATACCGAACACTTTGTGTGCGTTTTATCCTGACTCTGGGCCTCGCTCCACTAGTCTCGAAATCTGCAAAATGAGGATGACTCTTCCGTTAGAACTTGGAAAGATACACCGCCATATTCTTTGTGGTTTGTGCATGTTGAGAGTAGTGAGGCCAGGCCCTCTGACTGTGAGAATGCAAAACAACCCCTCTCCGCCGATGAGCGTACTGCATGTGGTTTCTAGCTCTGCATGTGATCTTCTCTGATGCGATACCCCTGGAAACCTCATGATCATGTCGTACAGGTGTACGGTTGTCACCCCATGCTTGGGTCCTCACCCGTACACGGTTGTCGCCCATGCCAGAAGTCCAGACGTCCAGTTTGGGCAAATCGAGTGCATTTACACCCATGTTTGGGTCAGATGCATCCATGGAGAGGCTATTGTAGGTAGAACCGGGAAACACATTGGAGAACAACTAGTGTTTTTTTTTTTACATCGAGGTCCCACCAGCAAAGAGGACTGGATTGAACGCCTTCATTATGCCGCGTTGGAAAAAATCGAGACTGAACTCCTCTTCTGCCTCTCTGCCTAAAAGACGCCCAGGTTCCGGATCTTAATCCAATTCCCCTTGTTGCTAGTGGGACCATGCTCCGGATTATGAACCTGGCGCTGTCAGTCGTGGCTCATCCACTGAATAAATCTCGCATAGTTCCTGTCCTCGTCCTCGTCTTTAGGTATTTCGTGTTGACGATGCAAACAACCAGTCTGGCATCTTCAGAGTGGGAAGTCCAATCGACAGAAACGCTCCCCATTGCGAAGGATCCCAATCCCCTTCCTCTTCATCCTCTACGTCCTCTGCATTCGGATTCCCTGCTGACAAGGGGAGAATTTTCGCACAGCGATTTTCTCCGCACGATTCCAGTTTTCTAAACGGGCGAGGCCATCGTCATAAAGCAAGACATTTTCCATATCATCGTCTAGTTGCGGCACATAACTAGAACCAGAAAAACTCTCCTGGCCATCCTCGTTCTGAGCAGGTTGGACCCCATCTTCTTCACATACCATAGAGCAGAACAGAGAGCGGGAGGAGGAGGGGGTGTCTATGGCCGCCAATGTCCGTCCCGCGGACAGCATGCTCAGCATGGCAACACGTAGTGAGGAGGAGACATCTCTCCCTTCACGAAGAGCGCTGTAGAATGTGACCATGAATGCAAACGTGGCCTCATCATCAACTTCCCAAAGGGATGACACCACACAAGGAACTCGGGACACATAGAACGCTCTGCCGAAGCTCATAATTTCGTCGGGGTGGCGAGGACCCTTGGAGGAGTCGCAGCAGCCTAAGACTACCAGGAGCGTTCTCAAGTCATTTCTGAAGCTCTCAAGAATTTCTTCAGCTGACAGAGCTGAAGGATGATAATGACGACCTGGACAAGTCCCGTCCTCGTGATTCTTTAGAGGGTCGATGTGTGAGAGACCCTCCAGCAGCATATCGAGATCTGATTCCGATGTTGCTTCCCCCCTCCTTGAGATGTGCATCGGCGAGGCGCAGCCTTGCCTTCTTCGTGGCTTCATCTGAAGAAGACCACGGCCAGAACTCCGGACCAGGTTGGCTGGCAGATGGAGGAGGAGGAGCTCCATCTGCACCTGGTCTGTTTTTGTTTGCCGACTTGTCGTCGATCATGATGATATGCATGTCAGCCTCCCCTCCTTCCCTAGTCGGCGAGTGATGGCCGTCATCAGTGTCACGCGCAAGCGGCATAATCCCCATCTCCGCACCATATACATCTTTCCTATCACTTATTTCCCTGGGAGAACCAGCCTTCAGATGCGCTGCGAAGTGTGCAAGCGGAGGCCCGCGTGAGAGTGCATCCATCACTCGAGCCTTGGTGGCATGCCTTCCAGTGAGGAGTGTGGCGGTTCCAGAGCGAAGCATGTCGTGGATTGTCTGCGCCTCCTCTCCGGCGTAAGCAATATCTTCCACATCAAAGTCCTCGGACATAACCAGGGGATTACCAACAACGAGGGATTTCCAAGCACTATGCCTATGCTCCTCCCTTTTCGTTCCCCCTCCGACTGCAGCAGCAGCAAGTCCTTCAGACGAGGATGCGCGAACAGACGGAGGGCACATCATGTTGTTGAGCAGATCTTCACTCCTCTCCTTGAGCAGAGGAAGAAGATGAACTCCAGGCACAGTCGCCACGGTATGACGCTCTATTAGATACGGCTTCGAGGGTCGTCGAGCGTCCCTTAACAGCGCAAAGGGGACTCCCCACAGAATATCATGCGGCACGATAATGAGCTTGTCATCCGGGGAAAGCACCGGGATGCAATGCTGAACAGGTTCAATCAGGAGTCGGTGTAACTTCTCTAGGATGCTCCGGATCATTCGTCGCCGCTCTCGTCGTTCTTCTGGGCCTCCTTCGCGGCTGCTGTTCTGGCCTGATCATTTTTCGAGTAGCAGGAACCGCGATGCGCCTTCCGTCGACATCCCTTGTCTTCTTGATTGGACCACTTTGGATGATGATTGCCTTCAAGCTGCTGTCGACCTGCTGGCCTTTCTAGCTCATCTGTCCTGCTACTAAGCCAAGGACGTTCGATGGAAGATCGCAACTGGGTGGATGCTCACGTCGGGATCCCTCTCCTTTACTGGAGGTTGCGATAGCGGCCTGCTGATGACAACTGGATGCCGAGCAGCCCGAGTGTGGCACCGAGTCCGACGATAAGGAATCGGCGGTCCGCTGCTGTCGAAGATCGAACGAATCGCACGAAGAACAACTTGCACGTCCCGAAGGATGCGACTCCATCAGTTCTTTCAGCCGCTGCAAGTGGAATTGCACACCATCCGACATTTTGTACCTTAAGTGAGCGCAAGCCAGCTTGCGATCCTCGATGGTAATGACAGAGATCAGGAGCTCCTCGGAATCGGATTCCTTTCCAATGTCTGGTGCGGTGTAATGATACTCGATCAGCGTTGTCCTTGGGCCACACAAGCGGCAACCCGCCATGATCATTCTCAGTGTCGTACACTTGTACGACTCGAAACGCTCGGCAAGAATGCTCCTGTAATTTAGCCCCTCACGCATAGGAGCCCCTGGAGAAACACTCTTGTATTTCTTGTATAATGATTGTACTCCCGACTCACACTTGAAAGAACACTCGTTTGAGCTGTAGCCGCTGCTGCTACTGCTGCTGCTACTGCTGCTGCTACTGCTGCTGCTGCTGCTGCTACTGGCGTCCCTACTGCTGCTGCCGCTGCTGCTACTGCTGCTAGTGCTGCTGCTAGTGCTGCTGCTAGTGCTGCTGCTAGTGCTGCTGCCGCTACTGCTGCTGCTACTGCTGCTGCCGCTGCTGCTGCCACTGCTGCTACTGCTGCTGCTGATACTGCTGCTGCCGCTACTGCTGCTGTCGCTGGTACTGCTGCAGCCACTGCTGCTACTGCTGCCGCTGTCGCTGCTGCTGCTGCTGCTGCTGCCAGCACCATCGGCGGAAGGACTCTCGGTCTTTACATCCATCAGGACGGTGGAGAGGAACCCATGACGTGACCATTCACTCCAGACGAAGGAATCGGAAATTCTACGCCGAGTTATGCAGTCCATCTGCACACTACGGAATTGAGCTGCTTCTGTCTCTCCATATTGTGACTGATAGACCTCCGAGAACTTCCCTGCAGCCCTCTGCTGCTCTTTGAAGAGAGTCAGGGCCACCATTCTCAACTGCGCAGCTATCTCCTTTTCCTCGATCACATCATGGAGACGAGCGACAATCCCCACTACTTTGTGTTTCTCACCAGAGGCCAGGACCATCACCTCCTCCTTTACGTCAATCGGGGTCGCCTCTCGCACACTGCTGAGCAATCCCACTCTCCGTCTTATACATTTTAATCGCATACGCAGATTGAGCCGGCGTATTAAATCATCGACGGTGGTCACGCCTACCTCATCCGCGGCGGTCACCCCTCTACTCTTCATCTCATGGAGATTCTCGATGGCCTTGCCCAGCAGCTCCTCAGGGTCCCTGCCTCCTGGGATTGGCTGCGATTCCGCAATCAACAAACTTGTTCCTCGAAATAACGTCAGCTGGTGCAACTTCTCCCAAGCTTCTCTGCTATTCTGATAGAATTTAAGACTCTCTCTGAACATACCATGGTTTATCGACACCCCACCGAGGCACTCATTGCACTCTGCCCAAAGGAAGCCGGTGTCTTCCAACGAGTACCACGTGGAAGAGTCCCCGAAGGCATGGGAAATGTAGTTGAAGAGTCTCAAGGCGTTCTTCAGCTCCGCCTTGGACCTGTCATGAAGCTGAAGAGCAAAGAGACTGGCAGCCACGTCGGCAGCTAATTTTAACTCCGTGAGCAAAGCCTTCATGCAGTCGGGATTGCTGTCCACCAGTTGCCGGGCATACCTCAAGACTGGACTCCGACACCTCATGCGATCGAGATGAACTGCGTCTGCGGCCGATTGCCGAACGAGCCACATCTTGAGGTAAGCCAGCACCCCCCAGTCGTGATACCCCTTGACATTACAGAAGCATATGACTCTTATGAAAAGCGCCGTGCACCTTCGGGTCGTCCATTCGCCAGTCTCAGTCTCCTCACTGCCTAGCAACGCCAGATCGTAAAGTCCTTGGAATACCTCCTCTTGCAGCCCCAGCCTCTCAGCCTCAGCAATTCGCTCCTCGGTAGCTCGAATAGCCCTTAGCACAAGATTGGGGGTCCTAAAGCTGAAAACTTGAGCGAGCTTACTTGCGCAGGTGAATTCCATAGCCTTGCAGATTCCAAAGAGCTGCTGGCGTACGCTCAACTCAACGCTCATCAGCCGTAACTCTTCTGGAGACCGCGAGGCGGTTGGAGCTGTAGTATCTCCTTCCGCGAGGTGCGGAGGAGGCTGCGGAAGGTCCACGACGTCGGACTCTGACGGCTGGATAAGCTCAACGACGTCGGAGTGTGAAAACGATGAGAGTCGTTTCCACGTCTCGCCCGAGGTTCTCGTCGGCACGCCGCTGTCGTCGGGGTCGTAGGCATCGAGCATTCCACTCTCCACCTCCCATTCTTGGTCGCGCTGATTCCGACAGTAGCAAAGCATCTGTATGTCTAGCAGTGAAACGGCTCTTAGGGGAAGAAGGTAGAGGAGGTTGCTGTCGCAGGCCTTGTCARTGAGGCGAAGGAGTGTTCGCAGTGCGTTCATTCTGCCCGACGGCGCGTATGGCTGCCTGTACCTCTGCACGAAGCACTCACAAAATGCTGCTTCTACTTCGTTGAAGGACGAAGAAGGTGACAGGGTCTGCTCAAGCGAATCCGGTGACGAAAACACGGCCCGCTTCTCCCATGGCTTGGGCATAAATACCCCCCGCCATAACTCTGTAAGAAACAACGCAACTTGGGGAGTTTCACCGCCGTTCCCGACCCGGCGCCAGGTTCTGAACGCGTTCTCCACAACCTGCATGGCAGACCGGATTCCAACCTGCCCTTCCGTAATTTTCTGCCGCACCAGCTTGATGACGTCCATCACGTCCGCAACCTCGCCATAGCCATAGCTTTCCCGGAGAAGTTCTTCGCCGTGCCTGGAGCCGGAATAACCGACGTGATCGTCGGGATCCTTCTCGCTCAACCTAACATCGGTGACGGCCGGCCTGACAGTTCCATGTGCCGGGGGATGGTGGTGGTCCCCACCGCCGCTGTCATTGCCACCGCTGTTGCCGCTGCCGCCGCTGCTGCTGTGACAATCAGAGCACAAGTCCTCGCCGTCCTGTTTGCAAGAACCTTTTGCCTCCGCCATGACTCTACAGGCCTTTCGAACGAATAGGACGGGAAGAAAAGAAAAGGCCTCCTGGCCTTGTGAAGAAACAGTCAGAAAGGGGGGTGGAGGGAGGCGAGGAGAGAGGCTAGGAGGGAGGCTTGAGGGTTCGCGATGGGGGGAGGCTTGGAGGGAATGGGGTTTAGAGGAGGGCGCTGGGAAGCGGGAAAGAAAAAGACGGAACGAGAAATCCTTGCGAAGAAACGTCGGAAAGGGGGTGGAGGGAGGCGAGGAGAGAGGAGAGGAGGGGGGCTTGGGGGCTCGCTAGGGGGGAGGGTGGAGGGAGGCTAGGGAGGGAATCCGAGGAATGGGGGTGGTTAGAGGAGCCTGAGCGGAAGGGGGAACGGGGGAGGAAGGGTAGGAGAGGCGGCGCCGAAACTACTCGGAGCGGGATTAGGCTCCACAACCCGTCGGAATAGATATTAGATAGCGGCCCGACTATTTTTAGGCAGAGGCATATGAGTGTAGGTATAATGTAGTGTAGGGTTTGCTATCCGCTAACCGTGGTAATGTAGTCGTCAATGTCAAGTTTGTCAACCACTTTGCGAAGTGGTCCAAGGGTAAGTGTCACCCAGCTCAAGGCGTACTCATCATACTCACGCAGTCCTCGAAGTACCTGAAGGCAAACCGAAGAAGATTCATTGGTAAAAGTGCAATTGTGCGTACGATTGAAGGTCTATTATCCGCAAAGTGATAAAATGGCCTGCCCGTTTCATCAGCTGCTTGTTCCCGTCAATACTACTACAAATTGAATCCGTTACGTTAACTCAACTGAGTGGGCCGGCCATCCTATCCTATTACCAACAGCCATCCCTCATTCAATTTGAATCTCCCCTCAAGCTGATGAAGTGGCCAGCCTGTTTCAACCGCTGCTCGTTCCGGGAAAAAAACACGACTGCAGTCC